ATGAGTGAATGAATGAGTGGAGGAATGAATGGATAAATGAAGGAAAGAAGGAATATGATTGAAGGAATGAGTGGAGGAATGAAGGAATAAATGAAGGAATGAATGAATATGAGTGAATGAATGAGTGGAGGAATGAATGAATAAATGAAGGAAAGAAGGAATATGAGTGAATGAATGAGTGGAGGAATGAAGGAATAAATGAAGGAAAGAAGGAATATGAGTGAATGAATGAGTGGAGGAATGAAGGAATAAATGAAGGAATGAAAAAATATGAGTGAATGAATGAGTGGAGGAATGAAGGAATAAATGAAGGAATGAATGAATATGAGTGAATGAATGAGTCGAGGAATGAAGGAATAAATGAAGGAAAGAAGGAATATGTGAATGAATGAATGGAGGAATGAAGGAATAAATGAAGGAAATAAGGAATATTAGTGAATGAATGAGTGGTGGAATGAATGAATAAATGAAGTAAAGAAGGAATATGAGTGAATGAATGAGTGGAGGAATGAAGGAATAAATGAAGGAATTAAAAAATATGAGTGAATGAATGAGTAGAGTAATGAATGAATAAATGAAGGAAGGATTATGAGTGAATGAATGAGTGGAGGAATGAATGAATAAATGAAGGAAAGAAGGAATATGAGTGAATGAATGAGTCGAGGAATGAAGGAATAAATGAAGGAAAGAAGGAATATGTGAATGAATGAATGGAGGAATGAAGGAATAAATGAAGGAATGAAAAATATGAGTGAATGAATGAGTAGAGGAATGAATGAATAAATGAAGGAAAGAAGGAATATGAGTAAATGAATGAGTTGAGGAATGAATGAATAAATGAAGGAAAGAAGGAATATGAGTGAATGAATGAGTGGAGGAATGAAGGAATAAATGAAGGAAAGAAGGAATATGAGTGAATGAATGAGTGGAGGAATGAAGGAATAAATGAAGGAATGAATGAATATGAGTGAATGAATGAGTGGAGGAATGAATGAATAAATGAAGGAAAGAAGGAATATGAGTGAATGAATGAGTGGAGGAATGAAGGAATAAATGAAGGAATGAATGAATAAATGAAGGAAAGAAGGAATATGAGTGAATGAATGAGTGGAGGAATGAAGGAATAAATGAAGGAAAGAAGGAATATGAGTGAATGAATGAGTGGAGGAATGAAGGAATAAATGAAGGAATGAAAAAATATGAGTGAATGAATGAGTAGAGGAATGAATGAATAAATGAAGGAAAGAAGGAATATGAGTGAATGAATGAGTCGAGGAATGAAGGAATAAATGAAGGAAAGAAGGAATATGTGAATGAATGAATGGAGGAATGAAGGAATAAATGAAGGAAATAAGGAATATGAGTGAATGAATGAGTGGAGGAATGAATGAATAAATGAAGTAAAGAAGGAATATGAGTGAATGAATGAGTGGAGGAATGAAGGAATAAATGAAGGAATGAATGAATAAATGAAGGAAAGAAGGAATATGAGTGAATGAATGAGTGGAGGAATGAAGGAATAAATGAAGGAATGAATAAATATGAGTGAATGAATGAGTGGAGGAATGAAGGAATAAATGAAGTAATGAATGAATATGAGTGAATGAATGAGTGGAGGAATGAAGGAATAAATGAAGGAATGAATGAATATGAGTGAATGAATGAGTGGAGGAATGAATGAATAAATGAAGGAAAGAAGGAATATGAGTGAATGAATGAGTGGAGGAATGAAGGAATAAATGAAGGAATGAATGAATATGAGTGAATGAATGAGTGGAGGAATGAATGAATAAATGAAGGAAAGAAGGAATATAAGTGAATGAAAGAGTGGAGGAATGAAGGAATAAATGAAGGAATGAATGAATATGAGTGAATGAATGAGTGGAGGAATGAATGAATAAATGAAGGAAAGAAGGAATATGAGTGAATGAATGAGTGGAGGAATGAAGGAATAAATGAAGGAATGAATGAATATGAGTGAATGAATGAGAGGAGGAATGAATGAATAAATGAAGGAAAGACAGAATATGAGTAAATGAATGAGTGGAGGAATGAAGGAATAAATGAAGGAATGAATGAATATGAGTGAATGAATTAGTGGAGGAATGAATGAATAAATGAAGGAAAGAAGGAATATGAGTGAATGAATGAGTGGAGGAATGAAGGAATAAATGAAGGAATGAATGAATATGAGTGAATGAATGAGTGGAGGAATGAAAGAAGAAATGAAGGAAAGAAGGAATATGAGTGAATGAATGAGTGGAGGAATGAAGGAATAAATGAAGGAAAGAAGGAATATGAGTGAATGAATGAGTGGAGGAATGAATGAATAAATGAAGGAAGGAATATGAGTGAATGAATGAGTGGAGGAATGAATGAATAAATGAAGGAAAGAGGCAATATGAGTGAATGAATGAGTGGAGGAATGAATGAATAAATGAAGGAAAGAAGGAATATGAGTGAATGAATGAGTGGAGGAATGAAGGAATAAATGAAGGAATGAAGGAATATGAGTGAATGGAAGAATCGGGGAATGAATGAATAAATGAATGAAGGAAGGAATATGAGTGAATGAATGAATGGAGGAATGAAGGAATATGAACATAAGCATAGTTAGGAGAAAGATGAATAAATTTAAATGAAGGCGAACATGTCTTACAAAAAATGAAGCAAAATATGAAATATTTGTTTAGAAAATATGAAAATAAAAAGATATATGGAAATAATATAGAAGAAAGAGGAAAAGAAAACCAACCGAAGAAACGAAAAATGAAAAATAATAGGAAGGAAATTATGGGGAATGAAAAAAAATCAAATAGAAGGAAAGAAAAAAGAAAGGAAAAAGAAAACAGAGGGAAAGTAAAAAGAAAGAAAAGTAAGAGAAAGTAAATAGAAAGAAATAAAAAGGTTGAAAGTTGAAGGAAAGAAAAAGGAAAGAAAATAGAAAGAAAAGAATGGGGACAAGTAAAAAGAAAATACACAGAAGAAAAAAGAACAGGAAGACAGAAAAAGGAAAAGTAAATAGAAAGAAAGAAAATAGATATAAAGGAAAAGCAACTCAACTTGAAGGAAAGCAAAACGAGAGAAAATAGGAGGAATAAAAAATAAAAAAATATTAGCAAAGAAAAGGAATGAAAATAAAAAAAAATTATAAAAGGAAACAAAGCAAAAGAAGGAAAGAATTTTGATTCTTTCCTTCTTTTGTTTTGTATATTTGTTTCCTTTTATATTTTATATATATATAAGAAAAGAGAATGGACAAGCAAAAAAAAAAAAAAAAATAGAAGAAAGTAAAAAAAAAAAAAAAAAGAGAAAACAAGAAAATACCAAGGAAGCAAAAGGAAATAATATAGGAAGGAAAAATAGAAAGAAGGAAAATAACAAGAAAAAAAAAAAGAATTGAGAAAAATAGCAAAAAGAAAATGAAGAAAAATAGGAGAGCAAGTAGGGAGAGTAAAAATGCAATTCCCACAAGAGATGAAATAAGCAGAAATTGCAGCGGCAGAAGCGGCAAGAGACGAGAAAGAAACCAATAAGAAAATGGGACTAAAAAAAAACAGCAAAAAAGCAGGCAGAGATAGATCGATTAAAAGTTTCCTGTGGAATATCAGAAAGAAAATATCTTGATAAAAGCGAATTCACCGGCGATATTGGTAGCGATCGACGCCATGAATGAGAAAACGACGGAAAAGAGATTGCATTTGCCGAAAACTATTTATTGGAGCAAAATATAATTACGGACGCGCACATGACAGGTTTCGTTGAATAGAATCCTTTTCAGGCGGACTGCGCATTTTTCTCTTGAAATCAAGGCTAAAAGACCCACAAGGTTTGGGCTAATTTCACATATACGCCCTTACGTCAATTTATTTATCGATCAGGCGATCGATCTGTCTTTAATCAATTAATCTAACACTTGTCTAATTATTTGCACACACACAAACACACACACACGCACACACAGAGACATCATATATGTTTAAAAATATGAAAAACATATAATTATATATTTTAAAAACTGAAAGAAAACAGCTAAGGTCGTTCTATAATTTAAAATTAACAATTTAAAAATAAAATAATAATTACATTAATAGAATAAATAAATAAATATAAACAAACAAGGAAATAATATTCAACATTAACTTTCGTTTGCTAAGTATTAAATTCCATCTTTTAGCATCCTCCATAATTTACCTTTTCTTACATAGATTTAATAATATTTTAGAGCGTTCTTAAATTTAAAATTTGAAAAGCTGTTATGGTAGTTTACCCACGCACGCATGGACTCTCCCAGCTATAAATAGGAGCAGGTACTGCCTTTTGGAGAAGGAAGTTTCTAGCAGTCAGCTCTGACAGTCAGACCGAACATTCTTGCTGTAACACTCTCGTTTGTATATGTTTGTATTACTGTTTCTGTTGATATATTTGTTTAACTCAATTCCTCTCTTATGTCTTTATTTCTGGCCCCTAACAAGGCCACAACAAAAACTTAACGGTATTTTTTTTTTACTTCTGTTTATAAATACATGTTGCAAAATAAAATCCTAATATTTACTTTGATAAAGTCCCTCAGTGAGCGAAACGCGTCGGTTAAGAAAATTTTTTCTTTTTGTCTTTATATACAGAGTGTATCAAAAATACTTTTACAGGAGGGTTCCCCGCCCCAGACCAAAACAGGGACAATCCCACACATTAATCGTAAACTGATGCTGGTCTCTAGATGTTGGAGATTCCGATTCGCCCACAAATGTTGGTTTTATAAATTTGTAATTCCATCTCTTCCAAATGTTGCCTCATCTGTAAACAAAACTGAAGGGAAAAACCCCGGATCGGCAGTTTGTGCAATAAGCGTTCTCCTGTGGTGAGTGATCAGAGGTCGAAAGACCCTGCACACGTTGCGAATGGATCATCCCCGACGGCCTGTAGAATGCTTTATTCGTGGTCAGGCGTACGAGCGGATCTCGGTCTTCCCCGATACATAGTTTGTGGTGCCACGGGTCCTGTCCCAGCAACGCGACGATAAACACAGCAATGGTTGCATGACTCAGCTGCCTTTGGTCTGGAAAAGCAATGATACAAACGTCCATTACCCTTCGCGCGACCGTATATAAAAATCAGATCTTCCTGCTCACGATATGAATATCCTGTCATAGTTAAACAGAAAACTTCTCAGTTAACTCACCTCTACACACATTAAACATTAGACAGTCTAGCCACAAATGACAAATGTAACCTAGCCTACATAGCAAAACAGCGCCATCTGCCGTAACTTTCTTTAAACTTAATAACTCAAAAACGAAAGACTTGTGGATATATGATTATATGAACATTTTTCCTTGTTTTGGTGTGAGGAACCCGTTCCCAAAAATTTGTAAAAATATTTCTTATATACCCTTTATATTTATCCTCTGTTAAAGATCTTAAATTTATTTGTCTATATTTTCTGGTTTCCGGTGCATATTTAAATATAAATTGTCCAAGGTCCGAGTACTTTCAGCTTTCATTTTTATATTATGTCGGTTTCGTCATTTACAAATATAGTTTCTTTGTGTCTTCACGTGGCAGTTCGTGTTATTGCTTATATTTTATATTAATGAAATATAGTATGTGTGTTCTTTTAAATTTGCTTATATTTTATTGATGTTGACCTCTTTGAATTATCTTAAATCCAACTTTCTTCAACTATGGCTCAAATAGTAGAACAAATTGAATTGTTTTGCCTTCAGGTGGTAAAAAATCTAAAAAAAAAGGAATTCTCTGAACTAAAAAAATCTACTTGAGGAGTGAAGGGCTATCGTGCTCTAGAAACACAACTGTTGCTATGGCTTTATTATATATATACATATATATATACATTAAGAATTGGACAAAGTCCGACAATTTATTAAAAACATTTTTATGTTTAACATTTTTTTTATAGATACAAGTATTTAAGTAAATGCTCTGTTTATAATAAACAGTATTAAATAACATTTACCGGCCTGAATGTCCGAGAAATTTTCATAGAAAATATTCGTCCTTTGACAAACTGATATTTGTCGGAAACAAGCAGAAGAAATGATAACAGATAGAACAAAAGTTTGGCTGTTTCATGTTTGTAAATACAGTGGGGAAAAAACGGACAAAAAAAATGAAAAGATAAGATTTGCAGTTAAGAAATTTATTCATGGTCATTACTAAAAGGGTGAGCCCGAAGTGCGACTTGCAGTCGGGGAGTCAAGCATGTGCGGAAGTTTAAAAATCTGGGAAGTGTTTTCACGGACGACGGTAGGTGCGACGTTGAGATCCGAAGTCGGATTGGGATGGCCAAGGATGGGTTCCAAAAGCTGGGCAGAGTACTGCGAGACGAGCGGATTTCTTTGGTGACAAAGAAAATAGTACTGAGCTGTTACGTGACATCTGTCTTCTTATACGGCAGAAAATGTTGGACGGTCTCCTCAAAGATGAAAAAGAGACTCGAGGCAGAGGAGATGTGGTTCTACATATGCAGGACGATGTCCATACTGCTATATATGTCTACAGTAGCCTACTAGTATTGCTCAGAATCTGGGGTAGCATTATACACGAGCTATATGAAGAAATCCGTTTTTCACGAATAGATTCAGTGTTTTAACGGAGGATGGTAGGTGCGACGCTGAGATCTGAAGACGGATTGGAATCGCCAAGGATGCATTCCAAAAGATGGGCAGAGTACTGAGAGACGGGATGAATTCTTTGGTGACAAAGAAAAGAATACTGAGCTGCTACGTGACATCTGTCCTCCTATACGGCAGCGAATCTTGGACGGTCTCCTCAAAGAGACTCGAGGCGGGGGAGATGAGATCCTACAGAAGGATGCTAAGGATATGCAGCGAACGTGTGAGCAACGATGAGGTCTTGGAGAGGAAGCAAACAAGGAGAAAGCTTATACTTAAAATAAGGAAGAGACAGATGTAATTTCTGGGACACGTAACAAGAAAGGAGAGCCTGGAGAATCTGATACTCACAGGTCGAATAGAGGAAAAAAGAGACAAGGGAAAACAATGCAGGACATAACTGGCGGACATAAGCAAATGATACCCACATTAAAAAGGCCTTGTGCCACATTCGATCCCCGTAGGTGGATTGATAAATACCATAAGCAAATGGATGGCAGAACGTGGCCTGGGGGAATTGGCAAAGCACGAAACTTATTGAGAGCCACAAAGGAAATGGGGGTGGGAGTAGAGAGCCATGATCACCGACGTCCTGAAAAGACACGGCACATGAAAAGAAAGAAAGAATGTTGATATGCACAACTATTTACTCCTGTTTTAATAGTAAGTCTGTTCGGTCTGATAAGGTCAAATTGGCAGCACATCTAAAAAATGGCCCACATTGTGTTTTTAATTGGGGCAAGGAATGGCTTGTTAATTTTAACACCTCCAAAACGAAACTGCTCTCGATCAATCGTTTGAGATAACCCTTTCTATCAGCATGGCTGATGCTAACCTCCAGGAGAGCGACTCGTTGCGCCTTCTCAGACTAATGTTTTCCTCTGACATGAAGATGAAAGATTATTGAATCAATTGCTAAGTCTGCTGCTAAAAAAGTTGGTTATCTGTGTCATGATACACAATTTTTCTCACCCGAATTTATCTTACATATTTATATGTCTATCTTTCGTCAATGCTTAGAGTATTGGTACCACAATGTGCTCCTGTTATATACTTAGAGTTCCTGGATAAAATCCAAATGAAGGATCTGCAATATCATTGGTACTGACCTGGAATCTCGGCTTCATTCACTTTCCCACCACTGTAATGTTGCTTCCCTGTGCCTTTTATATAAATATTTTCATGGTAAATGTTTTGATGAACTCTTCTCTATGGTATTGTTATTTTATCCCCACGCCACAGACAGTGAATTGTACCTATGGGGACTAGTTAGGACTTTAATAGAGACACTGCGGTATTACGGTGGATGTAGTAAGTAAGGTAAGTAAGATTGTGTTGTTGTGGTGTAAGCAATATTGTTGTATGCTTGGGTCAGTGTTTGTGGCTAGCTAAGTTTAACGTTAAGACAGAAAAAAGACCGTCCTTTTCCTCCATCCCCATTTTGGCCTTGTGATGGATTTTGTATAAAAATACAAATAAATAAAACTCTTCCCTATGTTAACTAGAGTCTATGAATTTAAGAGTAGTATTAGATTGACGACAAGATCCTATCGTTTTGCAGTTGAAATGGCTAGATGTAACCGTAAGTTCTATGCTAAGAGTTTCCTCTATAGAACTTCTATCTTATGGATCTCTCTTCCGGCTTCTTGCTTTTACATACAAATTTGATCGCCAGAAATTTAATTGCAACGTCAATCGTTATCTTCTAATTTTCTTAATTATTGTTCTTTTATTGGTCTCGTTCCTTAATAAGGATTTTCTTTTGATTATATTCTTTCACACTCAGTCATCTCCTGCGTCTTAGTGTCTTTGTTGCCTTGCTTGGGGTAAAATGATTAAAAAATATCTTTGTCCAGTAGAAGACTGTAATGTAATAGCTGATACGCGTTGTCAGGATGATCTCATTTTTTTTTTTGCATCAATGTAAACAAAGATAGATATTTGTATGAAATGTTCCGAATTTCGAAATTTCAAGTAGCCATGTTACAGGTTTCAAGCTGTGAAACTAGTCGTGAGGTTGATGTATTATTTGTGTAGTTGTATTATTTGTGCAGTTGTATTATTTG